GAAGAATATAAATAACTAATTGCTTGCACTATAAAGTATAAAACATGCACAGTAATGAAATGGTATTTACTTTATATAATGTATGCAATTGGGCTTCTGGTATATCTTTTATCCTCCTTAACAATCTGCAAAGTTAATGTCAAGAATGTACACTTTGATGTTAGTCTTTGCATTAATTCAGCAGATAATTATTTAATCAGAAACTGTTTTATTTGATTTGGTGCAATTTCAAGACAAAAAAAAAAAAAAGAAAGAAGGCTAGAAACTGGATTTTTTTTAAAAAGTTCAATTTCAAAGTATACAACAACAGCACAATTTTTATTTTCTTCCAACATTCCAGTTCATCAAGGATAAACTCGTTAAAATTCACCAAAATAATCCCAAAACACTCTAACAATAGCTTGCTGCATGACCTATTTAGCACAGAATTCAGAGGAACGGCAGTGATAGAGTTTTAGAGCTCATTTAAAAATTGCTGTGCCGTTTCATTGTAGATTAGCTGTTGGCTTGAAAATGAGGCTACGTTCCCAGTATTTTCACTGTCAAGATATCTTTTGTGCGGCTTCTCTGCAGCTCCATAGATGAATCTGCAGGTCTGTCTTCTAAAGAGAATTGAAAACATTTCTAGCAGTGTGCGAATTTGACAAGTTTCATAGAGAGAGAGATACACAGGAGCTGTTGTCATACTGTAACAGTTCTGGGCCTGAATGAATAATTCTACCTATTTATATCATATATTTAGGGAGACAGTACTTAATGATGGTATCTGTCTTTTTTATTATCTGTATTACTATTAGTAACAGTGATTATGTTCTAATTTGCCCGTAATTATGGAGATCATTTTCAGTTTACCTATGTTCATTTTTAATTAATTTTTATTTATTAAGAGTCAAAACTGTTTAAAAAAACATCACAAATGATCTAGCATATTTGGGTAGAAAAGAGATACAGCTTAATATCTGAAAAATTAAAAATAGTAACATGTCCTAAATCAAATTATCATTGTAACAACATAGATTTTACATATGTTTTAACTGCAGTGTATGTACTTTATTTGTATTGAAATCATACTCTTCCTTGAGTATTTTAAATGTAACTTAATAACCACATTTCAAAGCGTTCAAATAGAAATTCAATGAATACATTTCCATGTGTGAAGTACCTGAGCAGAAAGATTAAGCTCTAAATAATTCAAGTGAGGAAGCAAGCAATGAGAGAAATGGCTAAGACCTAAATATAGTAACATAGTAGCCAAATAGTACCATTTCCAGAATTGCCAATAAAAGAGATAATAGTATGTTATCTTGTCATATCTTATTCAGTTCTCAGGGATTGCCATTGAGTAATAGCATCTACTTATATATGTATTATGATCAGTTAGAAAATATTTTAAATAAATACGTTATGTCTTCTGCTGTAGCATGTATGAAAAGCCATTTGAAGACATATATGCAGAAAGAGAAATGGAGGGGGAAGAACCTTAGGATTCAATATATGTTGTGAGGTCTTTAAAAGTAGAAACAAACACAGCAATGTATAAAGACCATTGGTATACTAAAGAAATATAGCTTGCATAAAAATACAGTGCAAACTCATATAATGTTCTTAATATTAATTTTATGGCAAGACAGGAGGCTTCATATTTGCTTTACATTCTTTACTGTAACCTCCAGCAGCAAAGAAACAGTTAATGGAACTTTTCAAAACAACCAATCAGACCAAATAACAGCGGTATAAAACCACTTAGGCAGACCCTCCCATTTCCTCTTTCTTTGCTGCTGCCTCCAGATGAGCACTCACCAACTCAGAGTTTTGTCCCTCCCAGGGGCATAACCACCTAGCTAAGCTCGTGGGTATGTGGCAGCCTCCCGGAGAAATATTTTGCCATGCTAAAAACGCTTGTGCTGTGCTCCTGCACAGCAATAGCGTTTTAGCCAATCAGGGGATCAGGACAGCTGTGTAGCTCACGGCAGCCCTGATCACCTCAGATTTTAAAATGGCAATGTTAATGGAGGACTCCATTTCTGTGTCTGCCACAGATATGGTGGATGTCTCTCCTAGAGACAGCCCCATCAATGCTAGAAGGCTCCTTACCAGGGACATATCCTCTTCATCTTCAGAGGAGGATATAGTCCCAGTTAGTAAAAGAAAAAAGAAGGCTTGCCTTTCCCCTTCAAGTTCTGAGGATGAACTTGATTTTGGTCCCACTTCCCCTCATTCTCGTTTGAGTCAATGTTTTAAAGGGACAGTACCTCCAAAAGCGAAACATGCTTTTCCCTCGTTTGAGGTTTCAAAGCAGTTTTCACACAAAAGGGACAGGACTCATTTGAGTGCTGTCAGTCCCTCACCGTCCACCTCAAGAGCGCTTGCTCATTCATCCTCCCTAAGCTGGTCCTGCTCCAGACAGAGATCACTGCAGATTGATTGGGAGTGCGAGGAGGTGGTTCGCTCTGCAACTTCCACTGAACGAGGGAAGTTGAGCAACAGTCAGATGGACAGAGTTAGCCTTTTAGGTAAAGTGCTCCCTTCAAAATTATTCCATTCAAGATGGGCCATCGAACAAGAATCAGACATCAGGGATTTTGCCAAACTAGCTTTCAGATCACCGCTAGTTAAAAAGGATGATCTCCTCCTTAGAAATCATATTGGTATCCCTGACATTCAGGCGCTAATGCCCTTGAAATTGATCCAGCACTGTTATCCATTCCATGAATCAGATATTGTGCAATGTACAATTTAAAATTGCGGATGCTGTTGGTCCCCTGCTACTTATGTTGGATAAGGCAGAGAAGGAGGGATCCTCTCATAACCCTTCCCTACCAGCTTTACTGGCTTCTAAGATGACACTTCTAAAAGCTTCCAGCAGAGCGGTGCTTATTATCGGTCAATCCTTCAACTATATTTCTAACATTTGCAGAACCCGTTGGCTGCATGCAGCAAGGATGTCTGATTTAGCGCCGAAATCACATGAATTCCCAAATTTTGAAAACTCCTTTCTATTTGGCCCCTCTTTTATACAAGAAGTGAAAGGGCGGTATAAAGCTAGGAGATCTTTCTCTGATTTAAATAAGAGCATTCCAAGCTACAAGAAGCCCTTTTGGACCGAGGGTCGTCCCTACAGGGCTACAGGCTCATCCCGGGAAGTTACTCAGCAAGCCCACTTTCGTCACCATGGGGGAAAGTAAGATTTTTAAAATGGGTTTACAACTCCTTCTCATTCAGTTTCCTTAGCAGAGTCAAGCTCTGGACAGAGAGGTAAATCCAGTTCTAGATTCCTCTCTTTCCCAGCCATTAGCTCAGGGAAAAATAGGATTGGCAGATTTGTCAATTACAGGTTGGATCAGTCCCTTGTTCCCTATTCCAAAATCAGACGACACATGGAGACCAGTACTAAACGTCAAGGCTTTGAATGCTTTAGTTAAAGAGGAAAAGGTTCGGGATGGAAGGTTTAACAGACCTCCCAGGCCTAGTGCAGAAAAATGTCTTCTGCATAAAATTAGACCTCAAAGATGCTTTCCATTCAGTTCCTATCACTATGAAACACAATTTATTGTAAATTTGCAAAAATCCATACTAATCCTTATTCAGAATATCCTATTTTTGGGTTTCATGCTGAACACTATGGATATGACCTTGGGTGTTAACCTCAGCTCTTAAAACACAGATGGTCCCTAAGAGATATAGCAAAGACAATTGGGAGGCCGATAGCATTCATATCAGGTTACGATGCTTCCAACCTTGCTGTGCAGATAACAGCCATCTGTTTCTAGGAAACCAACTGAGACTAGGTGGCCAGTGGGGGTCAAGGGTGGTCCTTCTTCTGGAAGGGCCTTACAAGCTAACCTTGACCACAGATGCTTCTACCAAGGGATGGGTTGCTTTCTCTGCCCAAGGTGCAATAAGAGGAGTTTGGTCACTTCAAGAAAGGCTTCTCCACATAAACTTACTAGAGCAGAGAGCAATCAGATTAGCCCTCCAAGGCCTCATTCCGTTGAACCTCCTGTGTGTCGATAATGGTTCAATCAGACAACAGGACAGCGGTAGCTTATGTCAGCCACAAGTCAGGGCACAAGGTCAACAGGTCTTTGCCTAAAGGCCTTGGACCTGTGGTCCTGGACTCTGGTTCACAAAGTTCAAATTTTGGCAGTTCATGTACCAGGAGAGGCAAACGAACTGGTGGATTCGCTGTCCCACCAGCATTTGTCCCTATTGCCACAGTCCAGTTAAAGAGTGCCTTATTTCAGCTGATAGAGAGCAGACTGGGCAAGAGACAGATAGATCATTTTGCATCTCAGACCTTGGCTCAGACTCCCAAATTTGTAACCAGGACTTGGGCAAAAATGCTTGGAAGATGGATGCGATGTCCTTCCAATAGACAGACATTCCGGACGTTTACACTTTTCCCCCTCCATTTATTCTGATGAAGGTGTTAGACAAACTTCGCAGGGATAGGGTGCCCAATCTGGTTTTAGTGTACCCCATTTGGACCTCAAGACCATGGTACCCCTTGATCCAACCTCTATTCAGGGGACCAAAGGTTCCATTAGGCTGGACAGCAGATTGCTTCCAAGGGACCAGGGATCTCTTAACCTAGCTCCCCCAACTTATGTGGATGGCAGCCCTGGTAGGCTTTTAACGCATCCTCATCTGACCGGGTTTAAGACATAGTTAATTCTTCATTACGGCGCAGGACCAGGATATTATAAGTGTTATGCTATAAACTCACTGTTGTTTATTGTGATATATACATACTACTATCTAACCTGCCTGAAAACACTTACTTCCACAGTATCCCTTACAGCTCTATCATTACAGGGGGTGACCCCTCCTATATATTACTGGGGCACTGTCTCTGCTTATACTGCCCTCTACTGGGTGTGATCCTTGTCAGCAGGTAGCACGGTCCTCTAGGGCAAAAACATGCAAAGTCTTTTAATGCAACTTCATTCCAGGCACTTTATTTGTAAGTTTACATATGAGGCAGCAGCAAATGAAAACATAAATATAACAGGTTTCCCTTTAAACAAAAACCTAGCTCGTCTGAGCACTGACTCACTTTGAATATCCCTCTCTATCAGGGTTAAACTAACAAAACATATTGCACCAACCTTATTAGATAGCAACACTCTGCTAGCTAGCCTGTTGCTTTTCTTTCTCCACTCCCAGTGCTCCAAGCCAGCCTTGCCCTGACTGCTTCCTCCTGCACTCCCAGTGCTCCAAGCCAGCCTTGACTGCTTCCTTTCTGCACTCCCAGTGCCTAGTCTCCTTGACTCTCTATCTGGAGAGAACAGCCTCTCTCCTACCTGCTTCCTGGGAGGAAGCCAGCAATCCCCCCCCCCTTTACCTGCCTAGCAGGGGGGAGTTTATTCCCACTGCAACAGCTGATTAACTGCAGCTGAGCAATGGGTTGGAGATGGTCCAAAAAACCCTGGCCTGGATCTATGTCTTCCCAGAAAACCACTAAACTGTGGAGTGGAGCATTGGCCCACCCGTCTCTCCAAATGCTCCACCCCAGGGGCCCATAACTAAACAAAGCTTTGTGTTGTGCAACACACAAGCTACACGTACTTCCCCTGGGGTTAAAAGGCCTATCTGCCTTCACTTTATCACATGGGCCATACTAAGGTACTGTGGCACTATTGTGGGCTGGGTGACCCCCTCCCTCTGTCTGGCCTGGTGGGCCATCCGGGTCCTATGACTCTTACACTGAGGGTGACCCCCTCCTCCTACTGAAATTGGATGATATGCTAGTGCTTGTTGGGTGACCCCCTCTTACATGCTGGGTGACCCCCAGCTGGCCTTATCTAGGTACCACACTGACTGTACCTTACCTCTGTTTCAGTGATTACTGTCATGGCTGATGAACCTGGCCTTGGCGGACTCCTTATCCAAAACCCTCGCTGCCCTCCATGGGGACGCCCCACCGGGACCTACACCCGGACCCTGTGGCGCATGGGACTCTAACTCAGGTGGCTCCCTACGCTCTGCAGATATGGGCTCGATGCACAAGAGGCCTTGGAAGGGCCTTCCGCTTTTTTGACCCATGCCTCCTCAAGCACCTTTGCTCTGCGGAGTGGGCGCCTCCAGACCACATTGCGGAGTTCCTTCGCTACTGACTTCACCACCCCTTGGACAAAGATGTCAGAGCAAAGCTTCAGGCCAAGTGTCCATGCCCGACACTACTGGACAAGGTAGCCTTTACCCCTGACATTGACCTGGTGTTTGCTACCTTCATAACAAAGTCGGGGAAGGATCCTCGCAAGGGCCTGGAGCAGGGTTTATGCACTGCCCAGGATAAACTTCTTGATATCAGCGGCCCACTGACCCAGATCTTCCTTATGGCAGATGACGCCCTGCAAGGCGGAACTTTGGTTGATGCTTATCTCCTCCGGGAGTGGGCCCAAAGAGCAGTCTGTCTCCTGGTTAATGCCAATGTGGTCCTCAGTTCAGAACGCCGCAAGGCGGCTCTTTACAAACTTGATGGTAAACTAGCTGATTTAGCCTCTAAGGAGCTGGGCCTGGATGCCGAGGGTCTGCTATTCGGAGATGCCTTCATGAAGGAGTTGAATCGGCACGTCTTCATCTACATGTCCCTCAACAAGGCGCAACAATCACTCTGAAGGGTCTTCTGTTCCGTGGACCATTTTTCCTCCAGGGCTGGTCAGCACACCAGCAGAGCTGCCTTCATGGGCAACAGGCCCCACATCTCAGAGTCCTTCTCCTCCTCCTCATCCATCCATTGTTGTTGTGCCTAATCATTAAATTCATGAAAGCACCAATATCCAAAAAGTAATAATCAATACCTAATAAGGTTTATAGCGATATTGGCGGGCACACAACCCAGTTCGGATACAGTACATTGAGTTATAGGAAAGAGAAATCACACAGAGACCAAGTTGAATATAAGAATTCACACTACACTTTATTATCCACAAAGGGATCTAAGCAAAGTAAGTTTTACTCTCATTTAAGTAGTTGCATGCATTTACTTCAAACAGCTTAGTATCTAGATATATCAGCTTAAGTATACATCACCATTAGAGAAGCTTGGTTGTCTCCTTGCCATACATGACTGGGGGGAACTCAGGAAGTCACTCGGAGAGACCCTCTCTTCTGGGAAAAGCAGAAACCAGTAACACGCGTCCGCATTAAAAGTGTATAGTTCTCCAAGTGTGCGCAAGATTCCCTTAGTCTTATATACCTATCTTCAAGGACAGTCAGTAGTTCCATACCAGTGCAGCCCAGCAAAAGACCTTGATACAAGCAGCTGGTTGGCCAGACTGTTCAGGACCACCAGAACTTATGCCAAGTCTTGTGCAGTTAATTTTCTCTTATCTACAAGCTTTCTTTGTACTGTTCTAGAGATGGCAACATAAGTTTTTTGATGGCAACAGAAGTTTCTCAAACTGCTGAAGTGCTGTGTCAGCTTATAGTGCTGTGTCAGCTTAGTAAACAGCTGTAGTGCTGTGTCAGCTCTTAATAGATGTGGCATAAAGCCTTCAAGCCTGCATCTAGTAATTGTGGTCTTCAAGCCTGCATCTAGTAATATGTGCTATGTGTGCTTATATGCTTACTGGTGCCATCTTAACTATCTATAAATAGTGATCAATCAATCATAATTAATATGAAATATTATTATCACATTTGTTCACCCAAGGCCGAAGTGCTTCATCCAGATGGGCAAGATATGCCTCAGGTAAGAGTTCTGCCTTATTTACCTAATTTCTTCATTGCGGGCTGGCTGTCTCACTTTTTTCCTCAGTGGGAGGACATCACAGGGGATCCGTGGGTTCTGCAGACCGTGTCCAGGTTCAGGATCGATTTCGTGGCAACCCCGAAGCAGGTCTCTGCTCCAAGACATATTCGTATGAACAAAGAGGCGTCCAATCTGGTCCATTTGGAAATACTCACCCTATTGGATAAGGGAGCAGTGAAGAGGGTGACAGGCCCACCTCGCTTCTTGAGCAACATCTTCCTGGTGATGAAGAAGTCAGGGGATTTCCGCCCTGTAATCAGTCTGTGTGCCCTCAACATGTGTGTCGTTTACTGACATTTCAAGATGGAAGGCATCCATCTCCTCAGGGATCTACTCCGCAAGAACGGTTGGTTCTCGTGTCTAGATCTGAAGGACGCTTACCTCACGGTTCTGATCCATCAAGAGGACAGGTGTTTCTTCCAGTTCCTCTGGCAGAAACGCATCTGGCAGTTCACATGCCTTCCATTAGGCCTCAGTTTGGCCCCATGGTGCTTCACCTATCTGTCATCTCGACACTGAGAGCCAGGGGGATTAGATCGATCATCGATCTGAATGATATTCTGTTGATGGCACAAGATCCCAAAGTTCTGCGTCAGCAAGCGGCGTTCACTATCCGCTTGCTCCAGGACCTAGTGTTCGTCATCAACGTGGAGAAGTCGGAGCTGACCCCCTCTCTGTCGGTCCAGTTTCTCGGTTTTGTGGTGGATTTGGTTCAGGCGCTGCTCCGCCTTCCAAGGTGGCCGCCATCAGGAAGGACTTTAGGTGCCTACTCCGCAACCCGAGGGTCACGTTATGGGATCTGGCCAGGACAATAGGTGTACTTTTTTCCTCCATTCAAGCCATTTCCCAGGTACCCCTGCACTACCGGGCTCTCCAACATCTGAAGGCTCGCTAACTTCATTCGTCAGCCTCCTACGACCAAGTTGTGTTGCTCTCGGACGAAGCCCATCTGGAAATCCATTGGTGGCTTCGACACATGGAGGCTTGGAATGGCAGGGCAATATTCGTATCCAAGCCAGACTTCGTCCTGGAATTGGACACCGGCTGCCTAGGCTGGGGCGCTACCTGCGATGGTGTTGGGACAGGAGGACTTTGGACCCCGGAGGAAAAGGCTTCATATCAACTGTCTGGAGCTGATTGCAGGGTCTTTTGCCATTCACAGCTTCACCAAAGGAAAGAGTCATTGCTTCTTTGCATGGACAACGTCTCAGCTGTCCGCTACATAAACCGGCTGGGAGGTTCCCGGTCCAAACTCCTGTCGGATTGCACAAAGGACATTTACCAGTACTGTCTGGACAGGAAGTTGTCAATCATAGCAGAATACCTCACGGGACAAGACAATTTTGTGGCGGACTGGTTATCCCGACACTGGAGGGATGCAAGCGACTTGCAACTTCACCCTCCAGTGTTTCAAATACTAGACCTCCTGCGAGGTTCCCTCCATCTGGATCTATTCACGTCAAGGGCGAATCGACAGATGGAATTGTTCTTCAGCTGGCTCCCGGATCCCCTCAGCCTGGCAGTGGACGCATTCCTTCAAATATGGCCCCTGTCGGGTTCATAAGCGTTTCCCCCTTTCTCCATGATCCTTCCAACGTTACATTGGATTTAGCTTCTGAGGGTGTCAATCATCCTGATCACGCCTCTGTGGAGGAGTCAACCATGGTTCCCCCTACTGTTGGAGTTATCGTACGGTTACCTGCCTCCAAGTTTCTCCTGCGTGATCTAGCAGGGAATCCACATCCGTTGATATTGGAGGATCGTCTGTCTCTGGTGGCCTGGACCATTTCTGGGGTTCATGGGATGTGTCAGGACTATCGACTATGGCTAGACAGTTACTCTGGGACTCTTGGGTGGCTGGCACCAGAAGATCATATCTACATGCCTGGCGATCCTGGCATGGCTGGTGTCTGGAGAGATGTTTGGATCTCTTTACGTATACTTGAGGAATGGCCTGTTAACGGGGTCCCCCTATACACACACTGCCCCCCTTACACACACAGCCCAATTATACACACACTGCCCCCATACACACACATTGCACCACTCACACAAATATACACAGCCCCCCTTATATACACACTGTACTACTCACACACAAACACACTTCTCCCAATACACACACTGCCCCAATACACACACAGACACCGATATACACACTGCACCCCTCAAACACACACACTGCCCCCTTACACACACTGCCCCCCTTAAACACAGCCCCAATACACACAGTGCCCCCCCACAAACACACCCCAATATTTATACACAATGTATACCCATACACACACTGCACCCCTCATACACACTGACCCCCTATACACACACTGCACCCCTCATAGAACAACAAACTGCCACCCTTATACACACACTATGTCCCTGACACACAGACACACTGCTCCCAATACACACTGCCCCCAATACATACACTGCCCCTCCATACACACACTGCACCCCTCACACACAAACACACTGCTCCCAATATACACGTTGCTCCCCCATACATACACTGCACCCCTCTCACACATGTACTGCTCCACCATACACAACCACTGCCCCTCCATATACATACTGTGACC